AACCGAAGTTCTTGTCTTACAATCTGACGTGTGGGATCGTGGATGCAATACATACAATATTCTCCATGGCTACTATGTATAGCTATTTCATAAGCGGTGATGGGTAAGAGGTATATGCTAGAAAAGGTACTTATATCAGGTATAAAAACCACTTATAATTTCGACACACAAAGAGAGGGTTATTAAAAAAAAGAAAATCTTGAACATTCTACTGGTTAAGGGGTCAAACACGAACTGACGCCAGACTACAGGTCGTTTTTACTAAGAAAATAGATCGACAACAGACACCATTCGATGGAGCAGTTACCGCTAAACTTGTAAAAATGGAGTTAGGAGTAACTCAGGAAGGTAATGTTCTTATATTCGAACGAAGAACTATTCATGAAATATTATTGGATAATTATTAAGTAACTAGATTATATATGTATTCCCATTCCTTTTATCGAAGGCTTTTATTTGACCTATTGGCCGCTGCTATACGATTTACCATCATCAATTATTCCTAATTTATCAGTTACAGTATCCCACACTCACAGCCACTTTTGGCTTGACCTTGTATAATTATTATTTCTCATTTTATGGTGTGATGTGGTCTGGTCTGATTGTATATAAGCCACGTATCTGAAATTTACTATTTATATAGCCTAAGCCTAGTATTTGTGTTCTGGACTGAACGAGCTGGACTAGGCGAGAAGCTGCTTTACAGAGGACCAATAAAGATTCAGAGTTGACTCAAGGCTCCTAGTGCTGGTTGGCATGTCATTAGTTTAACACAGGGATAATGTCATAGAAGTCGGTATTCTGATTAGCAATTTTGTCACGTGATAGTCGACGAGTCAAAGGACATAACAGATGTATTGGAAAATCTGATATTTTTCGGAGATTAAATAATAATTTCCCAAAAAAGTATTTATTTGAATCTCTATTCCAAATACACACAATTTAATCTGGTCCCCTGAAACCTGTATGTTTAATAAGGGATTACAAAGAATAACTCAAAATTTTCTGTAAAACCCCTTTTACTTAACGCTGTATCATCGTCAGTCGGTGCTTAAGTTTTCTTCATTTTATCAATTATTAGAGACTGGTTTCAACTATTTTAAAAAAAAAAAGAAATTAGAGCATACTTCTGTTACGGATCATTCTTCTGAATCGTATAGTCGACATCACTAGTCATAAATAAGATTCATAACAACAACATTTAAAACAATCCAAGTTATGAATTTTTCTAAATATCGTTAACTTAGTTCTAAAATGATAGACTTTAAAAAAAAATTAATAAACAGTTTGACTGTACTGTTTGGAGAATGCTGGTAGGTGGCCTATGCTCCATTAGGAGTAACAGGCGTAAGTAAGTAAGTTGACTGTACTATTCATTTCACCACTGTTAATGAGATTCGGTGTATTACAAGCATTGTTTACTTGAATATTAAATCATACATAATAATAGTAGAAAGAGCTGATAATGTAGTAAAATCATTAAGATAATATTAATTAACTTCTACAAACATTTATGTAGAATAGTGTATCGTGACAATTTCTTAAGCAGTGTGATTGATTTATATTATATGTGAACATAACTATAGTAAGCTTATATAACCGATTACAATGATTTTATGACAATGATAATTATTAATGAATTAAATATTAGAGCAGTAAAATTATCATTTAGCATAATTGCTAGGATGCAAAAAGGCTTTTCCAACTACAAAGAAAGGATGGTAGCTGAGGCGTTCCATATAATGCTTAATCCTACTTCTCTCAATAGAAAGGAAGGTCTTATTATACATCCTACTTGGACTATCTATCCTAGCCATTCATTCTGATCGTATTTACAATTTCACACTATCATATTACAAATTTAAACTCTATTCTTTCTTACCATAAAGGTCACACAAGTGTTCATTCTTAAACAATGCACATATAAATACACACAAATTTACATACATATCACTTATGAATCACCTTGACAGAAATGACATGATATCAACTTGTTAAGACCTGTTTTTCTTGCATTGTTCCGTTGTACTATTTAAACTTGGATTAATTTTAATTTGGTTATTTATTCTCTGAAGAAGTGACTTACAACAAGTCACGAAACGTCAGAAAACCCAATTTTCTACTCATTGGGATATTACAAATATATTATTTTTATTTATAGGATGAATTTCATCCAAATAGAAATAGGGATTCATTAAGAATAAAATGTAGTCATGAATAATTTAAAATAGGATATTGTTTTAAAAAAATCCTATTTACTATATTGTATTTTATGTTGACCACTAATCTTATAGTGAAAAATCTTGTTTTTCAATGTAGATCTCACAACAACAAAAACAAAAACATGGTAATTTGTTTGGAATGTATATCAACATTTTGAATGTCAATCTTATGTTTATGATCTTTCCTCATGAAACTTTACACTAATGATATTGTAAATATTAATTTAATCCCGAGAACAGGGATAAGTCGGCAAAGACCTAGAATCTATTAATACATAGTTACAGAAACATACAAAAATGCCTTTCCTATACACTACTTGATTAATCGCATATTATTTTTAAGTTATGATGAATGTTCTAAATACTTCGCTCATCGTGCTATTTAGATATCTTTGGTTTGTTCCGTGTTGAGGTAATGAGCGCACGTCTTTTGTAGTGTCCGATACAGGTTCCCAGTGCTATTTTGAATCCCAATTAAAAATCAATTAGTGAAAAGAAATTTATTTTTAACAGTTGTAGAATGATTAGTCGAATATTCATATGTATCGTAGCTCAACTTCCTACATGGTAATAATAACCTGAAATGAATCAGATTTTCAAATTATTCATAAACACACCGAGTTTAGACCGATAGGTAGATTGAAGACCGATTTACAAGGAATGAATCAGTCAGTTATACGCGAGTTGGAAACACTCATACGTTGGAAATAATCATGGCATTTGTGAAAAAAGATAATTCTCATTTATTTATATTCTAGTTAGTCAGTTATACGGAAAGTAGAACCTAGCACATTTCTACATTGGTTCAAATTGCTACACCACTTACGCACAGAGAGATTCCACAGTAGTAGAAGTAGTAACAATATTGGTAGTAGTAGAAAACACTAGATACAAAAGATATAATTCGAAAAAAAGATATGAATTCATAAAATAAGAATCATATTTCAGGCTAATTAAAAAATTGATATTTAAGGGAAGAAAAAGATTGGATGCATCTGAACCACATAGTTCAAGTACTTTAACCATTGGTCACAATAATCGCGCTAATTTCGACCAGGTAGTTTACGCCTACCTACACCACCTAGTCTAACAGTCAATAACCTCATGAATTGATACCACCTCTTGGTCTGGAGATCGCTAGCTTTCTTCTAACGTAATTCGACACTATTCATCATAGTAAATGAAGGTCGGGGGTAGACAGCACATGTCTCCACTACCTTAGTTACTGAAGATTCACTTACTCATCAACCGAATTACCATCTTAACTTAGTTCCTTGCGTCTAAAATCAGAATTGTTTTATCTATAATTTCGACATACATGAGCCATAACTCAAAGGTATTTATGATCAAATACTAGTAACCTGAAACCAACCTGAGATTTCTGGGTTTGTTCTTCACGAGCCGTAGATGATGAGTGAAGTTAATACTTTAGATATTACACTGATCAGACCGATTGCTCTGTGGCTATTACACGGACTTCTATCTTTTCTTATGAACTTTGAGGATCAGCAATCTTGATATCAGATGCAATTACGACTAGATCCAATACTAGCTAATATCTCAGTCAATCTACAAACTCAAACTGCAACATCCTTAAAGATCTCTAAGGTTAACCTATCATGAACAATAGCTCTACCGCAATTTAGATTAGTCACTTAGGGTCCGAGAGGGTATTCTAATCTCCCGTTCGAATTGTTCATGAATAGTGGGTAGCCGCAGGCCAATTTGAATTTTCGATTAAATAGTTCTAATCTGGACAGACAGTGAACAATGGTCCCGTCTTGTTCTGAAACTTTCACTAACAGTCAAATTTCTAATACCTGTTTCTTTGATGAGTCTGAACAGCTATCTACCACCGCTACTTTGTCCAGTGCTCACAATCATTACGTAGACTTTTTGTCAATCCACATCTAAACTGTCTTCGCTACTGATCAGGTTCGGGACCTGACAAGATTAGTTTCTGAGCGTCTGTCCATTCATGAAGTGTCACAAAAGTCGGCTGGTGTTTCTTGACCACTTGGTTTAAGTTGCTGGTAGATCTCATTACTGCTGGGACATCATGCTAAGCCACCTAGGTGTAGACACCACTTTCATGATTGACGAACTACTTTTGTAGTTGTATCTGAAACACACTATTGACATCTTGTCGTTAACTTGATTTATAATGTCTTCTTGCTGTAGCTGTTCTGAGTCCAGTAAGATCCAGGTAAACGTGTGATTGCAATGAGAAATGATTCGAGTCTAAATATGATCTTCAGAATGGGAAACAGATTTCGGTCGAGTCTCTGCAATGACAGCTGATGAAGATATTGTTCATTTGTATCCATAGTAATTTGGGTTGACATGTCAATGACTATGCTGAAAGTTGGTTCTTTCCAAAAAATCAACATTCTTTGAGCATAGTTATAGCAGACGGTTACCGATTTGTTCATTAGATATATAGGCTAAAACAGTCTTCTTTATAAGATCAAACTAAATTACAATACACCTAAAATTCAATGCAAATTGACCAGTCACAATAAGCATAATACACGTAACGAATATGAGTCAACCTATGTTACTACATAATATCATTATAATGAGACGGAATGAAAGAGATATGCCTGTCTTACTATTAACGTAGTAGTAGTAGTAGTAGTATTTAATCACATTTTGTTTTGACTCACACGATATTTCTGTTTGAAGTGTAACGTGAAATAATTTGACTACAGTAAATCTTAGATATTAGTATTTCTGTCTATTTAGTAGGAAAAACAAACAACAAAACAGAACAGTTTACATATATGATAACCGTATTATATTTAATTAACCAATGAGCATTTTTAATAACATATGACATCGTAAAATGGTACCATTTATTTGTATGAAATATTTACAAGCTCTACAAAAAAATGAATTCATACACAATTTTATATGAATAGAAATCTGTATAGTAGTATATGTACAAAGGTATATTAATAATAATAATAAGTGAATTAGTTCAGATATTAATGAGATTGAGCGCTAAGTGAAGATATATCACCTTTTAAGACAGCTTTTAAAGCAGCCAAAGGATCTGCACTAATTGTTGAGTTGGACAAAATTGATTCAGTTTTCAACGACATATTAAATTCACATTCAGGTTCCGTATTCGACGATAACATCTCTGATTCACATTGTTGTGGAGAGGTAGAAGGTGAAAGACCAGGAATAACTGTATTCGTTGAAAAATCATCACAAGTAAATGCATTTTCATCCACGGCCTCTTCCTTAACACCTTCAGGTGAGGAAGTTGATTCTTTATTATTTTCAGTAGGGTCAGGTGAAGGAAATTTCTTTTCCTAGAATAAATTCGAATATGAATTGTGTAAAGCAAATAGTAATGAACAAAATATCTAATGTACAACCAAATAGCAAAATTAACATTGATCCAAGAGCTTAAGAACGCCTTAGTGTACAACATTTTGGGGGAAGATATCAAGTTAGTCATCCCATATAGGTTTTACGTGAATTGACCCAGATGTGTCGGCTTTGTACCTTTTAAAACTTACCGTCGGCGACAGGGACCCGCGAGGCAAGGCGGCATACGGTATTTTTAGACGCAACCTTCTCTGATCCCTTCCTTTCGTTACGAGGATGTAGTATCGCTGGAGACGTTAGTTTTTTGGGGGGAATACTTTACTACCACCACAACTAAGTACAGTTTCCAGCACAACTTTGTTTTCGGACTTTGAGTTTGGCACTTTTAGTCTTACTGCTCTCTAACCATGTTCTACGTATTAGCACCTAAATAACAAGTTTCAGCCAATATAGCTTGATTAGATCTTTCAGATATTCCAATCCGACTACCAAGTCACGGTATCAGATGCGGCCGGGAATCTGTTACTAAGTGAATGTATACTCCGAACTTGCTACACTGTTTGTTCACTACAGGATTTTAAAAATCGAAGCATCAGTTAGGGAATTCAGTGGTTAATGTATGAAAATGAAATATTATTAACTAGGGTTTATCAGACATTAGAAATCAGGCGTTCCAGAATTCATAGTAATTTAATTTAAATTTACCATTCATTTAAGATTGAGTGTACAATTACTTTTTCCAGATGCCTTTATACAAGTTAATACAAGAAAAGAAATCGACTTGCGATAAATTCAACTTACATCCTTAATTGAGAATTCTTTTCCTGCATCTTCTTGACAAATAGGATGATATACCTTGTCATCAACTCGAATAGCATCTTTTAGCATCCATTCTTCTTCTTCATGATCCCAAACTACTTCAAAACTTTCGTAACACACAGCACATACCTTGAATAACAAAACATATTGATAATAATTATATGTGGAAATTATATTTGAAATAATCTCAGCGATTAAAATTTAAGTAATTCCAACGTTTCGTCTAGCTAACTTGTCTGGACTTTTTCAGGGTAATAATCAAAATATATTGATAATAAATTGTGAATGAAGCACTTCAAAGATATAAAGTGAACAACTTAGGGAGAAATCTAAAACACAAAACGACTGAAGAAAGCTTGGTCTCTCGAAATGATTCTTTGGAAAAAAACACCTACAATAGAGGAGCGCAATTTTTTCAGCACCAAATCCACAAATATAAATATATCACTGTACGATTACACAGCTTTAGCGCATGAAGTTGTCGAGGATTTCTTTCAGTAAACTACCTTTTCTTCCTCAAATGGATGAAAAGAAGAATTTCAGTTTCAACTGAGAATAATTACATGTCACGTAACCTTTAGATAGATAGAATATAATTTTGTGCAATAGTTCAATGGTTAAATATGTCAAAGTTTGATAAATAGAGAGGATAAGCAGAAATAATGTACAAAAACGGATAAGTAAACAAAAAATGGAATAATTTGTAATATAGAAGACTAATAAAGCTTTGAAATGAGCTCTAAACGCGAACATGTACCGTATCGTAGACTAACTACGCTAAAGTTTAGTTCAACGACAAAAATCAAGTCAATATTCAGATAGATTGCTAGGAAGCCGCTATGACACTATCAAGCCCAATTCAGCATTACATTAATGTTTCTATCTCATTGAGTTTAGTAAGGTCGACATGAAAACTATTGTTAGCATAATCAATTATAAAATAAAAGTATGTGAAATAAGTACTTTAGGTAGTGATAGCATTTTTACCGGTTGCAATACCATTACAAGCATAACAGTAAATCTGCTCTCTGAGAATGAAATATATATCAGTGTCAAAAGTTTCCATTAAACATAAACTCGAAACTAGACTTAAAAATTGCTATGTTCATTTCGCGCTATGTTTCTTACATTTAAATCTAAGATGAATGATTACTGAACTGACGACAATAGAGCTATCTTATTGTATATGGTAGGCCATTAATTGTCTTCTAGATAACATACTGTCGACCGTTCAACTACGAATCATTCCCAATTGTCTGAAGTTATGTTTAAATGTTAGGTAATTATCATTAAATTTAAAACAATTAGTCCCTTTGATAAAATTTCGATAATGCAATGAGAAGACGTAGTTTATCAGAATTATGTGATATATTTGCGCAATACATTTCGAACAATCTGACCACACATACTTGTTAAGAACGGTTGTTTAGATAATTAATTAATGTTAATATGGTCACAATTAACATTTATTTATTCATTCCTTTTACTTCCGTTTCTAAAATTGGTCAAATCTAATCAGTGCATATACATCGCTGCTGCGCTCAACCAGAACAAATGTAACAGATATTTACTATACGTATACACAAATATCTATCAATAAGAACGATGAGTATTTTTCAAAAAAGCAGTGTACACTTATAGTAAAAAACAAATTGTGAAACAGTAATGAATTAAAAAAATCTGGATTACGTATCAACCAAGCAAAAGTAAACGAAAAACATTATTAGACCTTACAACTGCTTTGAAGCACCCGATGAAGTGGAATTAACAGTTCCCAGTAATAAATTTGACATAAACAACCGATAACCTTGACATTACCAACAAAACAGTACTATTGAATTTTTCAAAGAATATATATGTATATATATAACCCTCAGATGGTGTTCACGACAATACAAGACTACTGATACAGTAAAGTATTAAGTCACAATCTGCTAGTCGGAATTTGGTTGTTAACACTTAAGTTCATCTGATGTATTGCAACGTGTAATCCAGAAGTCTTCTAAAGTTTAAAGAAAACATACTCAAAGAATGCGTAATCAAAATGCTCCATACTTTGAGCTAACGGTTCTAAAAGTAAAATATTTACACGACATTTGCATAATGGCTTACATAAGAAGTAGTTCCGACCTGAAAATTGTGAATTAATTATGAACGATCTCATACATTCTTCATCACTTTACAACATGGAACAAATACACATGGACCCATATTGCTATCATCTAAAATGACTGACACCGTTATATTACCAGTTGGTTTTTCAACATTTATGTACTAAAAAAATCAGGACCAACACTTTTATTAGAAATCCTAACATTATGTGTATGAGGTTCACAAAATCTAAACTGGCTTTGATTCTACTTCCGAATTCCTGACTAACTGCTAACCAGTGAGTAATATCACGTTAACAGTGGCATTTCAATTTCCTTCAATTGGATAGAAATTGAGAAAGCTTAGATACGGTCAAGTTATTTGATAATGAAGTACGTTAATTACACCGGATCTGTTTGCTTTGGAAAGGGCAGTTACCTCTTTAAAACGCTTGATTCATCAAGCAATGTTTATTTTCTATAGTATGACGAAAAAATGTACAACACATAAGACTGTCGGGATTCCAGTACTTTGATCCATATGAAGTTATCAATCATCTTTATCTAGTAGTATTACCAAGCATCATTTCATTTGATTCGATTAATTCTGGACTCTATATGAGGACATCCATTTTACTTTCATGAACCAACACTTCTTACAAAACCACGTACACCCTCCATTAGGGTGGGTCAACTAAATTAGTCCATTATAATTCTTGGAGCTTGTCGAAAATAAGTCTAAAACCAACACGCCATAACCAAACAAAGTGAAGACACCGATAACCATGCACTTATTTTAACCTCTTTCCGTTTCATAGTTTTCAGGAAAATGTTATCACAGGAATCTATGTGGAGAACTAGTATTCTATAAAACTGCGCTTAGTTAGAATGAAACATTTAGATATACTTCTTATATTTATTGAGGGATTGAATGATGTGCAGTTTAAACACAATTTCTTAAAACCGATTGTTTTAAGTGCAGTTAATGTCAAAAGACTATATACTAAATGATGGTTTGATTGTTACTGTATGTGAGCGAAGCTGATTCTAATTAGAACAGGGTTATCGTAAGCAAATAGCTATACAAGGCACGAATTGTCTAGATTGTTCCGGGTGTTCACAAACACAGTTACGAATAACATAAAACTGTCAAGACGCGCATTTATATGTAGAGAGAGACAGAGAGGAAGGGGGAAGAAGACGAGATTCAGGTGAGGTTGGGTTAAATATTCTACATACTTCGTTTGATAAGAGTAGTTGTGAGCATCCACCACCACGCTTATTCTGGTCGTCTTACCAGCCCAGGTGTAGTGGTATTTGAAAAAGTTTGGATGGAAACATGTGTTTGTGTTCCACTTATTTTCACTAACTGGACCCAAAGAGACGTCTATCTATTTAAAAACAATTAAAATGCTGAGTAGTCCGCAGAATTGCTTTACGACGTAAATCATGGTGAAAGGGGCCCCCAAATGCCCTTGTACGGCCGAGAGTGGGGAGAGTCCGTACTCCCTCTCGAAATGCTCTCACATGGCCACGCGTATAATAACCTCTATCAGGGAAGCTCTAATCACTGCCTTCTCGTGGCGGCGGTGTATACGAAATTGAGAGGACGAAAAGCGAATGTCCGACGCTTTAACCGGGTTGGTGGACACAGAGTCCACCTAGGGGGGTTGGAAAACCCTGATTCCAAACCAATGATGCACATGGGCTCCAGTATCCTGAAGGAACGAATAGCGTATGAACCAATTAATGGTTACCGGCTTCCATGGGACTGCATTTCCTTACGATGCTCCATTGCCTTGTGGATCAGACCTTCAGGTCGAAGCCTCCGGGTGTGGTCTCCTAAGAAAACCACCCATTTCGGTGTGGGCACCCGGGCAGTATCATAGCCCTCACACAAATCAAATGAGATTTGTGTGGCGCATATGTATCTGGTGCCTCCTTGTACCAATATCTGTGTTAAAATAAATAAATGAATAAAACATCGTGAAAGACAGGGGGCGTGTCGCTAATACTTAGTCCTGTATGCTTTTAAAGTGGTCACGTATTTTGGGATTGATATGACAGTAAAACTGATCATATAAGTAAAACACTAAGTGAAGAGGACAGTTAACCTTCACTGATAGTCGTTACATGTTATGGGTATCTGACTATCGTTTACATTTACATATATCGTTCAAGATTAAAATCCGGTTAGAAAATACTCAGGTGGCGAGAAATACCATTGAGGTTATCGGTGATATCCCATTAGTTAAGGTAATTATTGATGAGCCGAATACATTTCTTGACAGGAAATAATTAGGAAGTGTAGACTAGGGATAGAGCTTATTGTGCCGCTTATTACTACTGATCTCAACGATTCAATGATAGTATCTGTACAGGAAACGATTACTCAGTCCCCTAAATCCTCCTAAAGCAATTGCAAATGCGTGACGACTTTATTCTTTTTTGGCTTACGTCGAATCACACGCTCTGAGATATGTATATTAATATTCTTCAACTCATAATTGATCATCACTACACGTAATTATCTCTTTTGAAGTCACTGGCAATACATTATAGTCACTGATTTAACTCTGATAACTTGCATTTCGTAAACGAAGTCAGAGGTTACAATAAATTGCGCTAACCATATCCACTGGTATCCACTAGAGCTGTTCAAATCTTTTACTTTTAATCAACATACTTTTAGTTACCGTATTCTGCATTAAGGTTTTTGGAAATCGTTTTCTTGAATTGAAACTCCCTAATAGACCTGAAGTGCTTAAATCACATAAATCCGTCTCGTGATGTCGAATAAATACAGTGTTACAAGCTCCTTGAATAATAACACTAAAACTTTTCAGATGCAATTCTCTATCCCCTCTTGAGTGAGACATGTTACAATCCGACTGGTACTAAAAAAGACAGTAAATCAGTAGACCGTATTGACTAAGTGGATTGTTGTGATAGTTTCCTTAGTTCTCGTGATTTAGTAACCAATTTTATTCTTTTCTCTACCAATTATTTATTTCAAGATTTCACTATCAGCCGTATATTATATTTCTACTCCTGTGAACTTGTTCATGTAGCGGCAAGTATAGCAATCTTAACTAATAAATATTTATTCAAGATCCCACGTAGTGTATCTGTTTGTAATATGAATTCCTGGAATTCTTTATCTTGTTTGTTAGAAAGATGAGACTATTTGAATTAGAGCACCAAATCGTATCAATTCGATACGAACACCAAAACCTAAATAATATCCTTCTGAGTTTACAAAAACAGCCTTAGAAGATTTACCAAGGTAAACTATGTTCATTCCAAATCACAAACGAGGTGAATCCAAGCGACGTCGACGGATAAGCAAAGTTGTACACTTTTTGCTAGCAGTTTAGTCAAAGATATGCGCCAGTATTTAAAGAGTTCAAGGAGTTACTGGCTTTAACTCAATTGTATCCATCTATTTCCAACATCAAGTTATGTAATTATCCTCTACAACACATTATGATTACAGGTTAGTACATCAAACCTATATGGTACCGCCTATGAGCATTATTTTGGCTCTAAAAAGAGCTAACAAAACGATCGCTAGCTTTTGCTTATCCAAATTTAAAATGAATCTCTGTATTAGTTACAGCAATCGCAATGTAAACTGGGCACTAATATATTTCCAAAAAATAACTTAGAACACCAGAAAATTTTGAGTAATACATTTAAAACTAGCATGTTAGATAAATAATCCTAGTCACTAAAAGCGCATTACTAACATGTTAATCATAGGAAGCAGAAATATGTAACTACTGGATTCGATGTAATGTGATTTGGTTTGTCAACTAAGTCTATTGACCTTGTTTGCAAAGACGAGTGTTATCAACCAAAATGGCTGGTATACAAAGTACTCTTGAGAATTTCTTCAGTTCCTAAATAAAATTTGCGAAATACTGAAGAAAGGGTTAAAGGAAATGGAGTCATAAAGCCACACTCCTCCCCATGATTTTTTATCTGGATAACCTTCCAAAGTACATACCGCAAGCGTGATGATTTCTTGGTGCCATATTGGACCAGGTCTGCTAAGAATAAAATTATAAATCACCACAAAAACTTTCTGAAACGAAATTTGTCAGCTGCACACACAGGAAAGATCGAAGTCCTTTCCACTCGCATTTATAAACCAAACCTCACTGCTTGTCCAAGTTTTCTTTTTTAGGGAAGATAACAATTAGGATGAGAGAACGTTTTCTAATGGCAGCCTTCCTGAGAGAAAACTAACATTAACAGAAATTGTTTACGCTTATCGCGGACTTCACAGCAGTGACAACCTACCATTCCATACACATATATGAACCAAGGAGTTAATACATACCGATTGACACATAGATAAACGCAGTTACCATATTATCCGCCATTTATACAACTAGCTACGGAAATGAACAATTTATCAACTCCAAAACTAAGCGAAGCTAATTAAAATTGTGTAGCTACGACTTTTAAGATCAATTTAAAAACTGAGAAATACAATTACATTCCAACCAAGCATCTACAAACGACAATAAATTAGAACGCTGGGTATCGCAATTTACAAAACGTATGAGAAGCTTAAAACAACCAATAAATTTGTAAACGGTAAAATGTAAACCACCAGAGTATCAAGTTACTTGAAGGTAAGAATCGCGTTTCGCGACCAGCAATTTAAAATGTGTTGGTTCTAGATACCGTTGGGTACGATAAACATAGAACTACTGATTACCCATTGATTAACCGTATTTCAAGAGATACCATTGAATCATTCTAGAGAATACTTAGAGCTGAAACCTAGATTTCGACTGAGTGTAACTGTTAGTATTTTATAATATATAATCTGCCTTATTAGAAAGCGATAGAAGTCTTGGTACTAAAAATTTTCCAACACCGTTACCCGGGAATATAATTTATTTAGAACTATTACGACAGTCTTAAGAATTGTGAAATAAATAACAGTTCAGTTGTATACAACGCGATACTCTTAGAACATAGGAATGCTGAGCAGAAAGTAATCTTTTTGTAAAATCTATAATTATCCCGAGGTTTTGATAGGATTACCAGGGTCAAATGTATTCTATTAGGTTTAGGGTAATTTAGGGAGTACTATTTATAAAACTGCTGAGTATGAAAAAACCTGACAGATAACCTAGTGACACTTACGAGATATCAGAATTACGATAAGGTCTAAATGCGCACTTCGTGGCAGTCTGAATTTCATTTCATTAATAGTACGTTTCTGGTACTATTAAAAGCAATAAGATTTCAGTGCACGAGCGAAAAAAGTAGTGAGATCCTAGGATGGTATTCTTCACGATTATTTTACTTATCTGTATTCAACGAGAAGCTGATAATACTCGTATCCTTTTTCTGGTTCATACCTGCATATATCTCTTTACGGCTCTACAGCGCATTCTGGCACTTATCCAAGTAGTTATTACTTCGTCAAGTTCTATAGAGTCTCTATTGTCTAGTGGGATTCCATAAAGGCAGAAATGTTATCCAGAGTGTGACCTGTGAGAAGTTAAAAAGTGAAAACGAAAGTGATAACTGAAAGTGACTTACATTTTTCGATGGATCCGCGAATGCTGTGCATTTGTACTCTTGTAAATCGTGGATCGGACTACCAGGCTCGAATTGAGGGGCGCCCTCTCGTGTCATTTCACTAATTAACCAATACTGTAATGGTTGATAGAAGTTACGACTGCGTCGTTCTTGTCCATAGCTTGAATTCTTCATATAATGGTAATCAAGGTGCTTTGCAAACTCCGGTGAAAGGTCACTTTGGAAACGCAGACCACACTGACCACATTGGTGACCATTATATAATTCGTCAATTTCAACAGCGAATGGATTCTTAAAACGCTCCCAGCTGTAGTTCCCTAGCTCAGGAGGTTCTGGTTTCTTTTCATGTTCTGTACTGGGCACTATACCAGCTTTAACCAACTTTTTGAATAACTCATGCACATCTATGTTAAGCGGAGTACTTGTATTCGATGAGCTCTCATCTTTGTTTGGTATAGGTTTTTCGCTCTTACTACTGATATCAGGGTTCACAAACTCTGGTAATTTTTGTCCATTACTTTGGTTACTGCTATTTGGAGCATCTGTAGGATGCATAGGTGACGGTCGCTTTCCATTGCCTACAGGTCTGTTTACAAAAGAAGCATGGTTTCTTGAACTATATCCATGTTCGGCGAGGCGTGCAAGTTCCTTGATAGGGTTGAGTGGTGCCATAAACAGATTTTTAGGTGAACCAAACAAACCTTGACCTGCCCACTTGAGTAGACGAGGAGGAATAGGTGGTAAGACATTAACATTCCTTGGCACGTTTCCAACAAATTTTACACCGACTGAATGAAGACCGACATTTATAAAAGTTAGGTGGGATGTTGTAGGGACAGTGTGTGGACGACCATCGATAACAAGTTCATGACCCGGACCACCTAGGTATGCCACATAGAATCTAGGTCCAATGGAAACACGAGTGAAACCTGTGCCAGGAATGTTGAAACAATGACCATCAATAACAATAGTAGCAAACTCACACCGGAATCGTACAGCATGTATGCGATCCCCAATCGCTATTAATGGTTGAACTCTATCTAATAACAGTGTGAACTGTTGACCATCAATAGTTATCCGTCTTGGTGGCTTGGGATGAGTTACAAGACTAAGCATTCGTGGATCGACGCCAATATTAACCATGTCTGGAAATCCATTGATCTCAACGCTCCACACAGGACCACGAATCGGTGGCCCACGGATAGGTGGGATTGCAGGTGGCTGGAAGGATGAATTTAACTGTGGTCTATCTCTGGGGAAATCCGCAATGCGAGGTGGTGGATGATGTTCCTTCACTGGGACGAAATTATCTACTTTTGAGTATCGAGGTGGAATATTTTCAGATTTTAAAATCTCAGGACGTAATTTTATGTCTGGATTACAATTACCAAAACTTTTTCCAGACTGTACTTCACTCGGTGGAAGGCGTTCTTCTGTGTCGTACCTGGACGCAGGAGGTATTGGTGTTACGGCGTCAGGTTTATTAATAGCTAACACATCTAATGGTCCTTTCGATATCTTCTCAGAAATACTGAAACTTGGAGAACAGGCAAGTGGAGGGTCTGACGGAGCAAAACGCATATCTATGTCTTTCATTTCTCGTCGAGAACAGACTTCACTGTGCTTTCCAATGTAATCTGACCAACCTGATGATCTGGCGGGAGAAGGTGGTACTGTGTTTTGTGAACGCATATCACAGTCCTCACCACCGAACAACATAACCTTTTTAGACAACTCACTAGCATCCGCCTGTTTACCTTGTTTTCGAGCAACTGACTCCATATTTTGATCTCCTGAACGATCGATAAGGTACTCTTCAGATGAATGAGATTCTTGGGGTGACTTTCGTTTCCGATTAAGCCGCGGATCACGTGAAGCTGAGATGACGGTTTTCGTTGTCAAAGAAGTTTCCTTCGCTTCCTGCTTTACACTAACTACCACAGGTTCCGTTTTAGTTTGTATTTTTGGGACATTTGGTAAAGATCTAAACGCAGCTTTCGCTTCAGGCGCGCTGGCTAAAAGAGGCCAAGCTGGATCATGCTCACGCACTCGAATATCCAATTCATACATCCTAGAATTTGGAAATATATCTTTCCATGTTGTCCTCAAATTGTACAGTTTCAACCGCCCCTTCTCATCTCGTATCTAAATAGAGTATTAAGACAATTTCCTCGTAGTAACTTACCGATTGGAAAGAATGCACAAAGGCATCAACAATATCCACGGTATACAACTTTCTGTAGGGTGTACCTACGTTTTTAACTATTGAGTCGATTACGTACAAGCCAAGTAGCTTCAATCCTGCCGGTATCTGTAATAAAAGGTTTGATAACTGTATTCCAAAAACAACTCGTTTTTCGTGAAACCTACAACGCTACCTAATCAATATGCGTCTCACGAGGTTCTACACGACTATCAATAGACAAATCGCATACGAAGGCTAGATTAAGCGCTTAAGCAATTAGTTATCGCTTCGCCCAAACCCAGCACCCATATGATACAAAAAATTCAAAACTGACAAAAACATTTATTGTTCTTTTTTTCATCTGTACAGTTGTGCACAGGACATAACAAGTAGAAGATACTAAATAACTCACCATTTGAACATGCTTAAGGGTAAGATCCACAATGCTCTGAGCAACCCCAATGGTATCTTTATGATCGCGCGCAAAGATAGTCAAAGCATTTATTTTGTATTTATCATTGTCTTTGAGATTCTCCAAATCCTTCTTGAAGGTTGATAAGAGATCACTAGCCGACGCCATTAGGGACCCACACGTCGAGCCAGTAACGAAGAAAACGAAACAACCTGGGGGAGCGCTTATTGATGTCAAGGACAGATTAAGAAATTTAAACAAAATGCTAGATGTAAAATCGATATGAAAGACAGAGTAGTTCTATTTTGTGAACCGCCATGAGGAGTCAACGATTGTCTTTGGGATCGAAGTTGGATAGACAAAAACACTGTTATGGAAAAATGAATCTTTGAAAGTTTACTGAAGATCAAGTTTTTCAGTTAAAAAATATCATGAGAAATCATTGAAAAAGGTTAGCAGGTGACGTTACAGATCATGTGTTGAAATTAGGTCTGAGATTCTGCAGAATTTTAAAATTCGTTCGTCACATGTTCGTTTTACATCCCCGAAAATGGCTCAAATTTTCCCCAAAATTGGGAGCTTGGGTCGTTATCGGTTAGCCTAATGGTCTACAAGAAACACATAGAAAAATAGTAAAAACTAATGGGTAGATGTAGAAAAATCCATTTTAATCAACAACATGCTATCTTGAGCTCTACACCATCGTTTTGTAACATTCAAGATCAGCTCACAATAAAGTTCAAACATGAGAATACGGGTGATATCTCAAAAAAAAAACCCACACACCACGAGTTCACCAAACAAACTTTCCCGGACAGAAGTAACAAACCGTTCGTTTTTTGGGGTCCACCTTGGCTATCAAAAGAGCGGCATCAGTTATTAAGATGTATTTCTTCTATATATGAATGTAAGTATACATTTAGTTATTGAAACCCTTATTCTTAGAACCAGCCACAGAAGCTGCTGGATGACTCAGTATTTAATTTACTTGTTAGTCCTACATTGAGATCCGTTTGCATCGATAGTGTACGAAGTGAATTAAACAGCGTGTACAGGAAATTAGACAATACGCAATCCGAAGTGGAGTCACTTGCGGGCTCCTCATCAAGACATGATGACCTCAAGCAAGAAATGAGGGCCTGGTCATCCTTTATGCTACCGTTGTTGAAGAACGTGGTTCATGTGGACCTTGAAGTCATTATCAAAGCAGCAACTTTGGCCGATTTTATCGCTGGCGAATTTGCAAAGCGAATAGTCCGTAATAATAGCACGATTATCTATAGTAACCTGACAAAATTCGTGAAAGATCGTCCATGCCTATGTATTCACCTTGATACAGAGCACCAGAATTTCTTGTACCCTAACTGTTTTAGATTCGATTCACATTTATTAGCTGAAAAACGGAATGAATCCGAACGGTTAATTTGCACACTTACGAAGCTTAGGAGTGCTTGTGTAGTCGTAGATAAAACGACTTATATGGATCAAGAAAATATACCTCATTTACATCCTTAAAACTGGTACATTTATAAAATCCTTTAAGTTTTCAAAGATCTGCGTGGAAGGCAAGATTTCATCCGTCCTCTACAAATGTGGTGGGCTATACATATCACTGCTTCTTTTAAAGATGTTTACTCACTTTCTCTGAAAACAGGCACTTGCCCTTAATGTTGAAAAACCTCACATATCGTACCATCTTACAAATCCGCAGATTGGAATGACATTACTAATTATGGGCTCATGTATTCCACTTCAGTTATCTGGAAGATTATGGAAAAAACTGTTAGCGGCGTACTCTCCAGCTATTTATTCACTGAAAAATTTATTGATGATTCTAAACACGGATTTCTTAAAGATCGATCTTGTTTGACCTTCCTTTTTCAATTCTTTAATTTAGTTTTTACTCATTTTAACCAGAGTTATCTAGTCCAAGTTCTATATGTTGACAACTCTAAATCTTTAGACATAGCTAACGATAAGCTTCTTATAGGCGGATTCCCATCCTACGGGATTGAAAACAATCTGCTTGTTTGGTTTAATTCTTTCTTCGGCCACCGACACCAAATGGTCAAATGTGTAGTACAAGGTAGTGTTTTTGATCGTTTGCTCTTTCTAGCTTATATAAATTATATTTGCGATTGCTTTCTTATGATTGAGCCTCATCTATGTACAGATGATCGTAAAATAATTTATTCATATCTTCATGATTAACTGGACATTACACGAAATTGAATCAGTATGAATCTCGACAAGGTAACCAAGTGGTGTTAGCCATAGCAGTTGGAGTCTAACGCGGCTAAATATGGGTGGATGCACTTCAGCAATATATCGCTCAACTAAGGTCTTACCATAAACGGCGAAGGGTCATCTAGGTTACAAACAGTAGTAGACTTTAGACGTAGGTAGTCCTACAATCTATCTTTCACAGAACAGGCCACGAAACAGAACTCCTAGTCCCAACGTCATGTTGGTTGCTCAACTCATAACCTTGACAACAATGAGTCACTTATTTTGATGTATAGAGTATGTGTTTGGCCACTCCTGTAATACTGAACGTTTATTTTTAATAGTGTTCTTATTAAGGATATATTAAGGCTAGAACCCATTCAGAAACGATTTACACTTATCATTCTTTGGGCTGATTGTACCCTAAATTGTAAGTTCAGATGCAACAGGATTGCACTCAACCCTTTGTGGAAGATGAGACTCAAACTAAACCTAGTATTCTTCAAAATGCTTAATAAACTGTATTTTACACCCGGTCAAGGAATTCAGTATGCGTAAATTTCTAATCATAACATCCGTAACTATTTGTTATTGGTGGAACAAACGTATTCTAAATTTTCCAGACCCTAGAATAATTTACAGAAATCTTTCCGTGAGGTGAAATTACTCCTATCTCTGTTTGGTGCATCGGTTCTCACCTATCCTCTGAAAATGCTTTAGATGTACTTACACCTATGAGGATGTAGAATTACGGTCTTCTTCGTTATTAATACTGTTTCAATAATAGACCTAATCCTAGAGTTGTAGATGTGTGGCATAACGTGACTGCCTAATCTATAATGTCTTACGTGGGAATCACATCATTGTCTACTCATCGTGTCGTAACAATTAACAATATGATACTGAGTACTTTTGAAGAACACATTTAAGCTGGAGATAAGATAATATATCTAATGTGAATAAACCCAATGACAGAATGACCACGTCTGTGAGACTGAGCCATGCCACCCGACTGAAGTCATGGATGTTCCCGAGTTCTCCATTGTTAACCTTCTCCTCGTGCCAACTGTTGAATATAAATATTTTCAGCAATTATATGCCCGGCTTCAAAGGACGTGTGGTTAGTGTCCAATGCCACCACAAGTGTTTCTTATTCCACAAGTGAGATTATAGACATGTATAATACTGAACTCACTAAGTAAACTTATCGACCTGTTTTTGGTTTGCACTTCGTCCCTAACAATCTTAACCTACCTAAATACTATCAAACACGAAATGTAGGTCATGAAATAACCTGATATACCTATCAACGTAGACCTGACTAATCTATCATAGTAAATAATGCCTTCTATGTTCCATGCTCTCTGCCTCTGTCTTATATTCTTTACCTGTAGATGGTCATAATCGATTCGTTATGGCGCAGGAAATGACCTTAAACGCACCATTCATATATCAACAGTATCTGAACTTGAAAAAATGAAACATCCTGGCTGATTCCTTTCATTGCTAACATATGTGATGAATGTACTGGAGAAAAATATTATCAAACTAAAAAAACATTAAAAAGTCTTAACTAACATACTTGGTTTATACATATGATATTACCATGTATATTAAATACTTAATGCCTGTAAAGTGGCACGAGTTCTGAAAATGTTAAATTCACAATGCATGTCATACTATGGGCAAAGATGGACAGTGACTAGCAGTGGGGACAAAGACGCGCGTTTCGTCCTCTTTGGGACTCGTCAGCTGGATGTTCATGCATCCCAGGTTAGATGTTCACTCCAAGACCAGAGTCAAATACCGTTCTCTACAAACGTCATCGCGTTATCCATCTAGCTACAGAATCCCGATAGCCACAAGCTTGTGCAATGGGGGAAGATACAAGCAAAACAACACCAAGTGAATTTATATAATATTATATTTTATTATAACTCCGCCTGAAGTCCCTCCGGGGGCTACTGCCGGTCCCAGGCCCGGATAAAGGAGGAGGGTTGGGCATGGGGTTAGCGTTCCCATCTGGTAGAAAAATAACTCGCTGAAAAGGCGCTGACTAGAAAAAATTATTCCAACCTTTGAAACCCTGCCCTGGGAGTCAGAAGATCTTCATTTAGAAGAACTATGACGCCTCATGATGAAAGCCGAGTTCCTTTAGAAGTCAAGAGGCCGGTGCCCCCTCTGAAAACCAGAACAACCATTTATTTAGGTACATGGAATACTCGTACAATGTGGGAGACCGGGGGAGTCTTCCAAATTACCGCAGAAATGAGGAGATACAACCTAGAGGTACTTGGGATCAGTGAAACTCATTGGACGCAAGTTGGACAACAACGACTAACTTCAGGGGGACTCCTGCTATACTCCGGCCATGTTGAGGAAAATGCCCCCCAAACACAAGGAGTTGCATTGATGCGGTCTAAGCAAGCACGAAATGCTCTTATGGGATGGGAATTTCATGGACTAAGGATCATCGGGGCCTCCTTCAAAACAAAGAAATAGGGCATTTCAATGAACGTCATCCAATGCTATGCGCCAACCAACGACTACAATGAAGACACTAAAGATCAGTTCTACAATAGGCTGCAGTCAATCGTCGAGAAGTGCCCAACAAAGGACCTGACCATTCTGATGAGAGATTTAATTGCCAAGGTTAGAATGGACTACACCGGATATGAGGACATCATGGGACGACACGGACTGGGAGAAAGAAACGAAAATGGTGAGAGATTTGCAAATCTATGTGCCTTCAATAAGCTGGTCATAGGCGGCACCGTATTCCCACATAAACGCATACACAAAACCACATGGACTTCACCGGATCACTCTACACAAAACCAAATCGACCATATTTGCATCAACAAAACGTTCAGGAGGACTATAGAGGACGTGAGAACCATCAGATCATCACTTGCTGGTCGCCAAGATGAAGTTGAAACTCAAGAAGCACTGGACAACGGGGCGGACAATATCACAAAAGTTC